TAATGAAAAGAAGGACTAGGAGTGACATGATAGCAGTGTTCCAATATCTCAGGGGCTGCCACAAAGAAGAGGGAGTCAAGCTATTCTCCAAAACATGTGAGGGCAAGACAAAAAGCAATGGATGGAAACTAATCAAGGAGAGAAGCAACTTAGAACGAAGGAGAAATTTCCTGACAGTTAGAACAATTAATCAGTGGAACAACTTGCCTGCAGAAGTTGTGGATGCTCCAACACTGGAAATTTATAAGAAGATGTTGGATAACCATTTGTCTGAAGTGTGGTGGGGTTTCCTGCCTGGGCAGGGGGTTGGACTAGAGGACCTCCAAGGTCCCTTCCAACTCTGTTATTCTATTCTATTCTATTCTATTCTATTCTATTCTATTCTATTCTATTAAAAACCATCTTTCCAAACAGCCATCATGTTTCCAGTGTCTTTCTCCTCACTTGGAACTGAACCCAAAGGATATTTCTTCCAAGAAAAGGAAGTAACTCTGCATGTCTTCCTTGGTTTTGATGACCCTGACACTACCCCTAGCTGGCTATGTGATCTAGTCAAATCCAGAACTGAGTTTCTGGAGGTTGTGCAGGCCACTTTGGGAAGAAACAAGGTCCATTATGAGTCGTGGTGGTGCAGTGGTTAGAGTGCACTACTGCAGGCTACATCTGCTGACTGCCGGCTGACTGCAATTTGGCAGTTCAAATCTCACCAAGCTCAAGGTTGACTCAGCCTTCCATCCTTCTGAGGTGGGTAAAATGAGGACCCAGATTGTTGGGGGCAATATGCTGACTCTGTAAACTGCTTAGAGAGGGCTGTAAAGCACTGGAAAGCAGTATATAAGTCTAAGGAGCCTGAGTGGCGTAGGAGGCTAATGCCTCCTACTAAGGCAGCATTTAACATCCAGCTGCCTGCAATTACTGCGAGTTCAATTCTCACCAGGCTCAAGGTCAACTCAGCCTTCCATCCTTTCTAAGGTGGGTAAAATGAGGACCTGGTTTGTGGGGGCAATAAGCTGACTTTGTATAAAATATACAAAGTATGAAGGCTATTGCTTAATGCATTGTAAGCTGCCCTGAGTCTCCGGAGAAGGGCGGCATATAAAAATAAAAAAATTAAAAAAAAAGTGCTATTGCTATTATGTCAGGATCAAGTGGCTTTGATTGTATGGGCCCCACAAATCTAGAGGTATTCTGCTGAATGTTATAAATAGAATTAAATAGAATATAAATAAAATTCTGTGATTCTATGAATGTTCGTTGTTCATGTGAGGCATTAAGCATCCCTATAAAACAATGGATCCCCAACCACCAGTCTGCAGCCCACCTCCGAGCCTTCAGCCATTCGGAACTGGGCCACAGAAGTGACAGGTGAGCATGCACATGCGTTCCCCAATTGCACGAACAGCAGGCAACCGTGTGCATACATCAGGAGTGGGCTTCAAAAATATTAGCAAGGGGTTCTCTGCCCAGTTGCTGGGTGGGCCTGGCCATGGTGGGTGTAACCTAGTGGGCCTCCTGCACCACGATGGGGGGGGGGTATTTGCCCTCCCCGGGCTCTGGAGGCTTTCCTTGAGCCTCCGGGAGGGAGAAAACAGCATCCCCAGGTTCCGGAGGCCCTCTGGAGGCCAGAAACAGGCCTTTTCCGAACTTCCAGTAGGCCCGTTTTTCACCCTCCCCGAGCCTCCACACATGCCCTGCACTTACCTGCATCCAAAACAGGCCACGTGGGGACTCCTGGGAGGGGGCAGGGTGGGAGGGGCCAGCCAGGAGTGGGATTTGGGGGTTCTCCAAACTGCACAGAATCTTAGCTAGAGGTTCTCCCGAACCCCTGCAAACCCCCAGCAGCCCACCCCTGGCATACATGCACCATTTCATGAGTGGTGGACACGCGTGCCCACCTCTCATGCAGAACCATCCTTTCTCCACCTGCCCACTGGTCTTCAAAGCCGAAAAAAGGTTGGGGAACTCTGCTATAAAATGATGGTCGCATTATCCCATTTGCTCTCAACTTTCTATACAGTTGAAACATGCTGTATGAAAATAATAATACAAAGAAAGCGACAGCGATAACGGTAATGACCACATCTGTATTTTTTTTAAAAAGGGTGAGGGACTCAAAGGAATATTAAAATCAAACAGGTTTTCATGATCGTCTTTATTTTACTTGCATTAATACATTGAGCATGTATCTTTCTACGGGGGAATATATGCATTTGCATACGATGGCTCATTTCATCAATGTCTGGGGTGAGATTTATTAAAGATAATTACATTCAGCCTATTGCGTCTTTGTAATAAGTACCGCAAATCCAGTCTTCTGGGAGGGAAAATGTTAAAGATGTTTTTTTAAAAAAAGCAGAAGGACCTTCATGGTTTTCTAAAGGGGCGGCAGGAAAAAAAGTCAAGTTTTTCAAGACTGTCTGGATTAAGAAATATTGTTCCAAACAGCTGCAAGAGGCACTTTCCTGGCCAATAGTTTTAAAAGAAAAGATTGCTTTGCTGCTGTTGTTTTTATTTGTATAGCTGATGACATCTCGACTATGACCGATAAGAGCAGGGCAATCACATCTGCAGAAAGATCTTTGCAGTCCAAAAACCCCAATTTTGGGTTTCTTGTCTGCCAGGAAAACCACAATAAATTACAGGTAGTCTTCAACTGTCCTAAGTTAGGAATGCGGTAGCTCAGTGGTTAAGGCGCTGAGCTTGTCGATCGAAAGGTCGGCAGTTCAGCGGTTCGAATCCCTAGTGCCACATCACGGGGTGAGCTCCCGTGACTTGTCCCAGCTTCTGCCAACCTAGCAGTTCGAAAGCACGTAAAAAATGCAAGTAGAAAAATAGGGACCCCCTTTGGTGGGAAGGTAACAGCGTTCGGTGCGCCTTTGGCATTTAGTCATGCCGGCCACATGACCATGGAGACGTCTTCGGACAGCGCTGGCTCTTTGGCTTAGAAACGGAGATGAGCACCACCCCCTAGAGCCGGGAACGACTAGAACATATGTGCGAGGGGAACCTTTACCTTTAAGTTACAATGGCATTGAAAAAAGTAACTTATGACCATTTTTCACAGACTTACGACCACTGCAGCATCCCCACAGTCACGTGATCAAAATTCGGATGCTTGGCAATTGGCATGTAGTTGTGACCATTTCCCAGTGTCCCGGGGAATCATGTTACCTTTGCGACCTTCTGACAAGCAAAGTCAAGGGGGAAGCCAGATTCAATTAACAGCCATGTTGCTAACTTAACCAGAGTGATTCTCTGCGGCAAGAAAGGTCATAAAATGGGGGCAAAACTCACTTAAGAAGTGTCTTGCTCAGCGACAGAATTTTTGGGCTCAGTCGCGGTCGTAAATTGAGAACTACCTGTACTGAAAATACTTACCATTCAAATGGCTCATAAAACAAAAATATCTTCATTTTGTTGTCAGTGCTGTGTATTTAAGAAGCAGCTTCCTTTTGAGATAGTAATGTATGGACAAATATGCATGGGCACGCAAGGAGATCTTGTTGTTCATTCCTCTGGAAGCCTTAGATCTTCTTTCAAATGTCAACCTGTTGAGTAGAAACACAGCTCAGCAGTTCTTGATTTGATTCCAAACTGAGATCACTTTTTTTTTTTAAACAAATTGAGGAGATTGTTTTTATTGGCATAAAAGTCCCTTTTATGGGGAAGAGATATGGAGTGCAAGCAAATCGAAGGCTCTAGGTTAAGTGTTTGTATGGAATGGATGACTCTGAGCTTTGGTATTCAACTTTATTATTTATTTGTTTCATTTGTTTTTAAATTCCCCCCCCTACTTTTATAACTTTATAAGTAATCAAGAGGGTGAGCCAATATAATTTTCTTTCCTCCTCCTATTTCCTCCATAACAACAACTTTGTGAAATGGGTTAGGTTGAGAGAGAGTGTCTGTGTTTTAGGCTTTCGTGCCTAAAGCGGGAAGAGAATTCACACTCTCCTAGTGATTGGCTCAAAATCACCCAATTGGCTTTCATGCCTAAGGCGGGAAGAGAATTCACACTCTCCTAGTGATTGGCTCAAAATCACCCAACTGGCATTTGTGCCTAAGGCGGGAAGAGAATTCACACTCTCCTAGTGATTGGCTCAAAATCACCCAACTGGAATTTGTGCCTAAGGCGGGAAGAGAATTCACACTCTCCTAGTGATTGGCTCAAAGTCACCCAACTGGCTTTCATGTCGAAGGCGGGAAGAGAATTAATATTCTCCTAGTGATTGGCTCAAAGTCACCCAACTGGCTTTCATACCTAAGGCGGGAAGAGAATTCACACTCTCCTAGTGATTGGCTCAAAGTCACCCAACTGGCTTTCATGCGAAGGCGGAAGAGAATTAATATTCTCCTAATGATTGGCTCAAAGTCACCCAACTGGCTTTCATGCCGAAGGCGGGAAGAGAATTCACACTCTCCTAGTGATTGGCTCAAAATCACCCAACTGGCTTTCATGCCGAAGGCGGGAAGAGAATTAATATTCTCCTAATGATTGGCTCAAAGTCACCCAACTGGCTTTCATACCTAAGGCGGGAAGAGAATTCACACTCTCCTAGTGATTGGCTCAAAGTCACCCAACTGGCTTTCATGCCGAAGGCGGGAAGAGAATTAATATTCTCCTAATGATTGGCTCAAAGTCACCCAACTGGCTTTCATACCTAAGGCGGGAAGAGAATTCACACTCTCCTAGTGATTGGCTCAAAGTCACCCAACTGGCTTTCATGCCTAAGGCAGGAAGAGAATTCACACACTCTCCTAGTGATTGGCTCAAAGTCACCCAACTGGCTTTCATGCCTAAGGTGGGACTAGAATTCATAGTCTCCTGGTTTCTAGGCTAGCACCTCAACTATTAAATCGAATTGGGACACCAAACTCTACATAAACTCTCCTAGGCATGTGGTAAAGATTTGTGTGGAAAAGCTCTCCATGCCTCCCTTCCCTCCTCAGAAAGAGGATATAAAAACAATTGAAAGATTTGATTGAGCAATTACCCTCGAGCACCAGCACTTCAGAGAAGAACCTGACTTACCTGATCAATAGAATAGAAAATGCACTGGATGAAGGTATTTAGTGTGGAAGAGAACTGGAATAGAGGGAAAAATATATATTACCAGTTCATTCTATGATCATTTGCATGGGTTCATTATGTAGATTCACAAAACCTAACTGGACACTTAAGGGTTTAAGTCTAAAGGAGGGGTCCTCAAACTATGGCCCATGGGCCAAATACGGCCCACTGAAGCCATTAATCCAGCTGCATGGGATCACGAGGCTGCCCCACCCACATTGCTCCACCTACCTGCCAACCCCCACCCACCTTCTGGAAGCCGAGAAGGCAAAAACGGGATGCGCGGAGGCCTCCCCAGCCTTCAGAGACAGAGAGAGGGAGGGAGGGAGGGAGGGACACAAACACACACACACACAAACAGAAGTCCCTCACACACACCCCAAGGCAACCACATCCCTTCATTAACCTGCTTTCCACCTCAAGGAGCATAACAAATTAAAGTTTAATTTGTGTGTATTGTTTGGACTGCTAAATTGGCCATGTCCACCTAGTCACATGACCACCTAACCATGCCCACCCAGTCACATGACCACCTAGCCATGACCACCAGTCACATGACCACCTAGTCATGCCCACCCAGTCACATGACCACCTGCCATGACCATCCAGTCACATGACCACCTAGTCATGCCCACCCAGTCACATGACCACCTAGCCATGACCACCCAGCTGGTCTGGCCCTCCAACAGTCTGAGGGACTGTGAATTGGCCCCCTGTTTAAAAGGTTTGAGGACCCCTGGTCTTAATCATTTGGGGATGAGAAGTGGGGGAATAAGAGAGAGAAAGCCATTTTTAATTTATATCATATCCAGGCATAAAGATTCCTTGCTAAAGTTGTTTCCCCTCCCCCCCCACTCCCAATTGTGGAGCTAATAGCAGCTTTGGGGAAAATCAGAGGAAGGGAAAAGAGAGGTTTAAACATAGCAAATGTTTCACTAAGGACTTTGAGGTGTAAGAAGAAGCAGACACAGAGAGAAGAGAAGGTCAATGTTTTAGTTTTTTTCTGGAATTAGCAGATGTGTTCTCTCTGAATCAGTCTTGCCGAGGAGCTGCTCAAATATCTCCTCAAACGGTGTTATTTCAACATCATTTAATCAATCCAGTTATCTGAATCTTCAATCTCAGCTCGGGCTCAAATAATCCTAAAATCAAGTAGAAGACAAGAGATTATAACAAGCTCCTTGGTCATCCAGAATGCTCAACTGATGTTTCAGCAAAGAGAGTTAATTTCTGGGAACTAATTTCCTGAGAGACGGAGAAATCACTTCTTCTTCTTTTTTTTTTTCAAAAAAGAGCGCAATCAGAGCTTGGAGAAGGGGAATTAATGCAGTGCAGAAAAATTATCTTGCATTTCTCTTCTCTCTTGGTTCTTGTTCAATTGGACAAAAGAGATTTTGCTTTTCAACATTTTTCTTTGAGCTTCGCTTATTTAGTTGTGAAGTGGCTGTTTGTGAATCATCTATCTGTCATTGTAGACCAATTTCTCTGGTGGTCCGCAGTCTTTTTGCTTCCCACAATTCCATGAAATCTCAAGGAAAAATATTATATGTGAACGCTTCCCTTTGAGTTTTTTTTTCAAGCTGGGAAGGATACTCGCTCAAGTATTCGGGGGCTGTAAAATAATGTGAAAGCATGGCACAGAAAACCACAACAGTAGAAACTTCTTCAATTACATTCAACAATCAAGCAATATTATAGCACTAGCAATAAAACTTAGACTTATATACCACTTCACAGTGCTTTACAGCTTTTCTAAGTGGTTTACAGAGTTGGCATATTGCCCCCAACAATTTGTGTCCTCATTTTACCCACCTCGGAAGGATGGAAGGCTGAGTCAACCTTGAGCCTGGTGAGATTTGAACTGCCAAATTGCAGGCAGCCGGCAGTCAGCAGAAGTAGCCTGCAGTACTGCACTCTAACCACTGCACCACCATGGCTCAACAGTCAATTATAAGGATTGTTGGGAGAAGTATCCATCTAGTTCAGTTCCAAGCTGGGAGAAAGACACTGGAAACATGGAGGCTGATTTGAAAGTTGGTTTATTGATGAATAGAATAATATGGGTTTGAGGTAATGGGCAGCTAACCACATGGAGTTGAGAATGAGGCTTATTTATACCTTCACTTGGGCTTTGCCCTTGAGCTTCCTGTTCCTGTGCATGAACATGTATTCTATTGGTTGTTGTAGGGGGTCATAGCTAACCCTATAGGTCGTCTGAGAAGTTTGGTTGAAGCCCGGAGAGTGATACAATATCCCCAGGTGGTTTTGTAATGTGGTGAGCTCTGCTGCTAGATAATCTTATTATATGCTGAAGGGTCATATCTTAATCCCATCACCCTGGAGCTGAAGGTCTTTTGTTTTGTAGATAGGCTGGCCCAGTCCTTCTCTATGGGCACTAAATATTTACTGGGGGCAGGGAGCTGAAACTCTGAGTTTTTGTCTCCCTTAAGATTTTGTATTTCTCTTTTAGAGGAAATATTTTATCCTGCCTTTTTAAATATTTCTCAAAATATTTCATTCTTCTAGGAGGGGTGGCTTCCTTCAGGGTCATCAAGATAAATTAAAAAGAAAGGCTCAATGGTGAGTGACCCAGAGTCATGCTTATGACATAGGTGGCCCATAAATTTATTAAATCAATCAATCAAGCACCCAACAAATTCTTTGTGAGGAAGATCACTTTTGAAGACTTGGAAGACAGATTTGAGCAGAGTTTCACCTGTCAATTTGCAAGGAAAGGACAGGAAGTTAGAGGTCAATGAGAGAAATCTGTCTTTTCTTAAGGAGGTCTGTCTCGTGGGACCAAGAGGAAAGGCCTTTTCCGTGGTGTCTCCCTCCCTGTGGAATATCGTCCCTGTGGAAATAAGATTGGCCTCCAGCCTAACACTCTTTCAAAAGGCCCTGAAGTCTTGGTTTTGCCAATTGGCCTGGGGACCTCAGGCTGATTTGGAGCCCATAAAGTGCATGGTTTGACTGTTGTCACCAGGACATTTAGGGTTTATTGGGTTTCATATTGGGTTTTTATTTCTGTAAACCAGGGGTGTCAAACTCAAGACCCGTGGACTGGATCCGGCCCACAGGTGCTTAGATCTGGCTCATGGGGCTGCCTTGGAAACTGTGAAGGACCGGCCTATGGTGCCTCTACTAGTGAAAATGGAGCTCAGGAGGCTGCGATGGCCTCCTGCAACCCTCTACCAGCAAAAATGGAGCTTTGGAGGGTCACATGTGACCCTCCCAAGCTCTGTTTTCCATGGCAGAAGGTTGCAGGAGGCCGTCTCAGCCTCCCAAACTCTGTTTTTGCTGGCAGAGTGCTCAGACCACCACAGGTGCCCCCTGACACGAGTGACATCGAGCTGGCCATGCCCAACCTGGTCCCAAGGTCAAGTAAAACCCTGATGCGGCTCTCAACGAAATCAAGTTTGACACCCCTGCTGTAAGCAATTTGAAATCATCATGAGTGAGGTAGGCGGCCATATAAATTTTCTTAATAAATAATTAATGGAAGGTAGTGGGGAGCATATCATGTTATTCATAAATCCATTCAGAAATATTGTAGCCTGTTGAACAGCTTTGGTGAGATATAATCTCCAGGGTTATCATGCTGTCCCAGTGGACTTTCATTTAAGCGTGAGCCAGCAATATGCTGCAGCTGCCAAAAAAATAAAAAAATAAAAGAAGAAGAAAGGGATATCATCAAGAACATGAGAAATGATAATATTGCTTTATACTGCACTGATAAGATGACATTTGGAATACTGTGTCCAGTTCTGGTTACCACAATAGAAACGAGATGTAAATTATTTTTTATCTGTCTTGTGGGCAAGAAACCATTTTGGTCCTGATGTATTTTGTTGTGTAATATTTTTTTCAACCTATTAGCAATTATACTCATGAAAACTTTGTAATCGGTATTCAACAAAGAAATCGGCCTATAGTTTTTTATTAATGTGGTATCTGCCCCCTCTTTTGGTAATAGGGAGATATACGCTTCTTTCCATGTGTTTGGTAATTTTGCCTCCCTCAGGGCTTCGTTATATATTTCTAATAGCATTCCGTTTAATAATTCCCCAAATGTTTTATAAAACTGCACTGTCAGATAGATAGAAAATGAAATATGTCACTGTAGGTTTGTATATATGTATATATGATAATATAAATTAGTTAGTAGTTGAAGTTGTGTATTGTATATGTAAATTTGTTTCTTGATTAAGAGAAACTTGTATGTTTTAAATGTTTTTTAAGAATGAATAAAGTTTTGTTTTTAACATTAAAAAAAAAAAAGAAACGAGATGTAGAGACCCTGGAAAATATGCAGAGAAGAGCAACAAAGATGATAAAGGGGTTTGAAGGCTAAATAGTATGGTGAATAGTTAAGGGATCTAGCTATGTCAGGCCTATCAAAGAGAAGGATTAGGAGGGACATGATAACTGTCTTCTAGTACTTGAGGGACTGTCACAGAGAAGAGGCGATTGACTTAATCTCCAAACCACCAGAGGGCAGGACAAGAAGTAATAGGTGGAAACACATTAAAGAGAAATTCAACCTAATGTTTTGACCTAGGCTTCCCCAGCAGTACAAAGCTGAGTCCTCGTCCCGATAAACTCCTTTTATTTAATTTACAGTGAATTCCTCTACAGCAAAGTCTTTCCTCTCCCACAGTCTTTCAAGATAGTTCACAATTACCGACCTTTATCAGGCTTGTAGTCAGGCCAGTGGTGGGTTGCCCCCGGTTTGCACCGGTTCTATAGAACCGGTAGTAAAACCGGTGGGAAGCTCCGCCCACTTACCCCGACATCATCAAAACACTTCTGCGCATGCGGAGCAAGCACGCGCGTGTGGCCCCACTGCAAACCGGTAGTAAAGGTAAGTAGAACCCACCCCTGGGTCAGACCAATATCTTTCAGATGCCGCAATACTTGGCAAGAATGCAGTAGTGAACTAATTGTCTCCTGCAAACTCCACTCCCCTTTCGCTCCTCTTTTATTCCCTCTGGGACCGGCCATTCATCATCCACCTGTGGCCTTACTCCCAAGTCGACCCTTGTTCTTTAGCTGTTCCCTTCATTGGCAACTCTGCCATGTGCACACCGGGAACACGCTCCATCTGTTCGCTTGCCTCACTGATGTCTGACTCCAAAGGCAGCTGGCATACGGCCCTGGACCCCTCTCTGCCTCCGACACAGAGCCCTCATCAGAGCCTTCCCCAGACTCCAGGACTGGCCCATGTTCCTCCTCAACTTCCTCACTGTCCGAATCTGCTGCCAGATCCGCTGGCCGCTGATGGGCCACAACACCTAAAAATAAGGAGAAATTTCCTCCCAGTTCTGATTAATTAATTAAGTTGTGGATGCTCCATCACTGGAGGTTTTCAATAGACTAGACAGCCATTTGATCAGGATGGTATAAGGTCTCCTGCCTTGAGCAGAGAATTGGACGAGAAGACCTCCAAGGTCCCTTCCAGCCATATATTCTATGTTCTAATTCACTGGTCACAGGATATAATTGGCGAACTGATGATGGAAGGTGGATGGTGTTGTAAAGGACCAAAGTTTAAGGTTTATCTTTTAAACTTGGTGAAGCCTGGTTTATGAGTGATCTGAACTCCATAGACATATTTGATGGCTGGTGGTTTTTATTTTTATGGTTGGGGTTTAGAGGACGGTGCCACCAAAAAACAGGCCACAGTTTCCCCCCTCACTCCTTATTTTAATGCCACAGTGCAAAAGATGTGGCACCATTCAGCTTTGTTTCACTGCCATATTTCAAAGAGCTGCTAATGAGCAACTATAAATCAGACAATACCCTTGGATGTATTCATTAACACACAAATAAATATGATGTGCAATTAGCCCTTTTACATTCTGGTTGTTGTAGCACTGTACGCGAGATCATTAGTTTCACAAAGAAACTCTGTCTCAGAATGCTATCCTAAGCACACTTCATTGATTAATGAAATTAATGTGTGGACGGGCAAAATACCAGTCTCATCTGAGCTTCCAAGATCAATACGTTCTTCTTTTTCTTCTTCTTTTCCTGTCTAAAAAAACCCAACAAATACATTGTCTTTTATAGGAAATTCCATGACATTCTTGTACTTTACTCTAATTTATTGATGCATTTATTCTCTGTGACATTTGTAAAAAATACTTTCTGTCTGTTGGGTAGGTTGAGATAGTCCTCCAATTATGTTTGAATAGAATAGAATAGAATAGGAATAGAATAGAATAGAATAGAATAGAATAGAATAGAATAGAATAGAATAGAGTAACAGAGTTGGAAGGGACCTTGGAGGACTTCTAGTCCAACCCCCTGCTTAGGCAGGAAACCCTACACCACTTCAGACAAATGGTTATCCAACATCTTCTTAAAAACTTCCAGTGTTGGAGCATTCGCAACTTCTGGAGGCAAGTTGTTCCACTGATTAATTGCTCTGTCAGGAAATTTCTCCTTACTTCTAAGTTGCTTTTCTCCTTGATTAGTTTCCACCCATTGCTTCTTGTTCTACCCTCAGGTGCTTTGGAGAATAGTTTGACTCCCTCTTCTTTGGGGCAACCCCTGAGATATTGGAACATTGCTATCATGTCTCCCCTAGAACCTTCAACTTCTGAAGGCAAACTGTTCCACGGATTAATTGTTCCAGAGGTGGAATTCAGTCGGTTCAGGTAAACCGGTAGCACTAACGATCAGTTGGCCCCGCTCTATCCTGTCCTTTATTTCCTGCTTTATAGCTCATCTCAATCACGTGGCACAGCGACCACAGTGACCCCCCCCCGTCCTGTTCTACTTACCATTGTTGACTTGGAAGGTAAGCAGCTGAGCTTCTAAATACTCCATTTTCAGCGCTGCATGCAAGCACCTTAGATATACATGCACACGAAGCAGTGGTGGGTTTCAACTGGTGTTACCACCAGTTCGCTTCATGCACGCGCTCCACGCAAGCTCAGTGTATTAAGGAGCTGAGATGCGGTAATCTGCTCTGCAGCGCCTTTCAGCTGGGCTAAAAACAACCAAATATAAGATATGTATAACACAGGGGCGGGCGGGAGGGCCAAACTAACAGTCAGAGAGAACCGGTTTGCTCTTACCTCACCAACTCCACTACCGGCTTGCACGAACCGGGGAGAACCGGTAGCAACCCACCACTGATATGAAGCGCATGTGTGTGCACAAAGCACACACTCACCGAAACTGTTGTTAAATTGGCAGCATTCCACCACTGAATTGTTCCCACTGACAGGCAATTTCTCCTTAGTTCTAGGTTTAGTTTACTTGATTTGTATACCGCCCTACTCCCGAAGGACTCAGGGCGGTGAACAGCCAAACAATAAAATACATAGATACAAAAAATTTAAAAACCAGATAAAATCAAATGTGATACAAGTCTCTTTAGAAAACTAAGTAGGTTGTGGTGGCATGTACTAGTCACTTGGGGAATGGGTGCTAAAATCAGTAGAAATAATAAAAAAATATTAGGAGGAGGAGAAGGGGGAGGAGGAGGAGGAAGAGGAAGAGGCCAATCACACAATTTTAATACATATATTCCACAAAGCCTGAAAAACTGTATAAATAGTCCTCAATCTATGACCACAAGTGGGAATTTAATTTCCATTGCTGTTAAGTGAGTTGCACCCAATTTAATAGCCTCTTTTTTTTTGCCAGGGTTGTTAAGTGAATCAGTGGAATCATGCGGTCATTGAGTGAATCCAGCTTCCCTCATTCCTTTTCTTTTGGAAACTGGATTGGGAAGGTCATAGATTGTGATCACATGACTTTGGGATGCTGCCACTGTCATAAATACATACTGATTACCAAGTGCCTAAACCTTAATCATAAGACTTTAAAGGGAAAGATAAAGGTTCCCCTTGCACATATGTGCTAGCCATTCCTGACTCTAGGGGGAGGTGCTCATCTCCGTTTCAAAGCCGAAGAGCCACCGCTGTCCAAAGACGTCTCTGTGGTCATGTGGCCAGCATGACTAAACGTCAAAGGTGAATGGAACGTTGTTACCTTCCCACCAAAGGTGGTCCCTATTTTTCTACTTCATTTTTTAGGTGCTTTCGAACTGCTAGGTTGGCAGAAACTGGGACAAGTAACGGGAGCTCACCCCGTTACATGGCACTAGGGATTCGAACCGCTGAACTGCCGATCTTTCGATCGACAAGCTCAGCATCTTAGCCACTGAGCCACTGCTTTAGGGATGCTATAATTCTTGTAAATCGCCTTAGACTTTGGTACTGAAAAGAAAAATCCCTCCCAAAAGTCAATACAGGTAATCCTCATTTAACAACCACTTGTTCAGGAACCATTCAAACTTGCAACAGTGCTGAACTAGTGGTAATTACGACCATCCTTGAAGTTCCAGACATCACAGAGATCTCAGAGTCACGTGATCGCAATCCTTGGGTACTTGGGGCCCGCTTGTGATTATGACATCGCAACATCCTGTGGACATGTGACCATGATTTGCAACATTCTCTTCCAGCTTCCCACAGTCACTGGGGAAGCCAACAGGAAATCAAAAGTTGCAATGACTTGTTTAAAAACTCCTGTGATTCTTAATGCCATTAAGTTTTAATCAGTGCCATTAATTACCAGCTTAATGATGGCAATTGGGAACTGACAGAACTGCTGTCACTAAACAACACAGTCACATAATGTCACAATTTATGGGCCACATTGATTAGTGCTGGAAATTCTGATCTTAACTACCTTTGTTAAGCAAAGATTTCCTGTAACTTTTGCTGCTGACAAGGAAGTTTCTGTTATCCAGAAAAACCTGTGTATACTTGGAAGAAGTCGCCAGAACTTGAGTTTGATTTAACAGATACTCTGATTTTGGTCTATAAATAATCTGAGTCAAATAAAAACAAATTGCATCCAATTCACGATGAAACAAATAATTACAAAATTTGGAGCAGAGGTACATCTCAAATTCGGCAATTTATGTGGCGTCAAGACTAAAACGTATTGTCACTTAATCTATTTTAGGGATGGAAATGCTTCAAAAATAATGTGCTTTCCAAGGTTATTCTGGAGAAACAACAGGGCAGCTTCAACAGTGAAAGAAAAACAGATTGCATGGAAAATGCACACTCCAGGTTTGACCTCTAATCCTCCCAAACAGCCTCCAGCACATGATGTTGGCAAGGAGAATAAATCAAAATATGTGGCTTTCTGTGTGACATCCTGTGAGGCAGGAGCTATTTTGATGAAGGATCTAAAACCTCAAAAGTTGCCCGGAGATGTGGCTGATGAAGATTGGGAGCATAGCAAATTATAAAAAGTTACCTGATAGTCCTTGTGGACATGTAACCCTTTTTTCTTTCAGGATAGCACTTCTTTAAAAAAAAATGTTCTATATTTGCAAATCTCATTTTATCTCAAGTGCTTATGGGAAGATTAAGAATGTTTTAAGAGCTATTCACTGAAGAACCAACAGAGCTCTTCGTATATCAGCAGTACAACTTATATTTTAGATGCAAATTCTGGGGTAAGATTGAAGGAGAACCCGGAAGAGATGTGGTGCTGGCTACCAGCTTGGCTGACTTCAAAGAAGGTTGGATAAATTCATGGAAATCTTGGAGATCAATAATGCTGAGCCTCAGTGGTGGTGGGATTGCCTTTGAAGGCCATTTACTGGAAGACAGTTACAATAATTTCTATGAAGACATGGTCACCAATAATAAAAGTAACTGAATGAAATGATGAATGCAATGTTGAAGTGTCCCACAGTGAGTGGGCCATGGCAACTTGTCCTGCATCAAGTTGGCTGCAATGAGTTGGCCATGGCAAGTCGGCCATGGTGAGTTGGCTGCAATGAGTTGGCCATGGCGAGTTGGCTGTGATGAGTTGGCCATGGCAAGTTGTCCATGGTGAGTTGGCTGCAATGAGTTGGCCTTGGCAAGTTGGTTATAGCGAGTTGGCTGTGATAAGTTGACTGTGGCAAGTTGTTCTGGAGCAAGTTGGCTGCAATGAGTTGGCAAGTTGTCCCACGGCAAGTTGGTTGCAATGAGTTAGCCATGGCGAGCTGGCTGTGATGAGTTGGCTGTGGCAAGTTGGTTGTGGTGAGTTGTCCTAGATCCTGCACAGCATAGCTCACAGCTTCATTGACTGGCATAAGCCCCCTCGCCATGACTGATGTGTCACTAGGAAAACAGACTGCTAGACTAGGTGGACCAGGGTTCCAACTCAGAAGGGCTTCTGCTTGTGCTTAGAATATGTTCTTCAAATTTCGAAAAGGTTATCGGGAACTTCCAATATGCTTCTCATAGCAAAGAGAAGACTTACTGTACCGTACTTGGCATGATATAATCACTTTCTTGCTCACTCACTGGGATGAGCTGTTAAAATAACCTCCATTTAGAAGGGCTATTTTAAAGCTTCATTGTTCTGTGGAGGAGGCTTTTGAATGGAGACCATTAATGGGCGAAGAGGAGAGAAATTTCCTCTCTGAGATTGCTGCCTTACTTGGAAAACACAAAGACACATATGCCTAGGGACACATTAAAACTTCATGTGTAAAAGCCTTATGGCTGCAAGGAAGACATTTTCAAGGGCACCAAACTCCTTTTTGAAAATGAAATATTAGATGAGGGCAAGCATATGTGAATGAATTGGGGTCCAGGCAAGGGCTTCTTGTATTTAATGCTTGATCGGATATCTATGCTGTCTTTCCTTCAGTTACATAATGTTCTCCTATTTTCCCACGACAACAGTCCTTGTGAGAAAATTTGGAATGAGAGAGAAGGACTGGTTCAAAGTCATCCCAAGGAAGTTTCTGGGGCTGAGAACAGACTTGAATCTGAGTCTCCCTGTTCTTAATCCAGGGGTCAGCAACCCACGGCTCTGGAGCCGCATGTGGCTCTTTCACCCCTCTGCTGTGGCTCCCTATCACTCAAAATATGCATCACAACCGCCAATGTGCGACACCCACCAGCATGCAATTTTTTGAGCTTTTCAACCCCGGTAGGCCAACCATGGATAAATCCAAGAAAAGAAAGTTTCAGAAGAAAACAGAACGTTTAATTCAACTAGGAGCCTGAGTGGCGTAGGAGGCTAATGCCTCCTACTAAGGCAACATTTAACATCCAGCTGCCTGCAATTACTGCGAGTTCAATTCTCACCAGGCTCAAGGTCGACTCAGCCTTCCATCCTTTCTAAGGTGGGTAAAATGAGGACCCGGTTTGTGGGGGCAATAAGCTGACTTTGTATAAAATATACAAAAGTATGAAGGCTATTGCTTAACGCATTGTAAGCCGCCCTGAGTCTCCGGAGAAGGGCGGCATATAAAAATAAATAAAAATAAAAAAAATAAATAAAAATAAATAAATAAAAACTACATATGCTAGTTTTGTGGCTGCTCAGGAAATAGTTGGGCATGGGAAGGGTTTTGTGGCTCCCGGTGTTTTCTTTTCTGTGGGAAACAGGTCCAGATGGCTCTTTGAGTGTTTAAAATTGCCGACCCCTGTTCTAACCTGTGGTGGGTTGCCCCTGGTTTGCACCGGTTCTATAGAACCGGTAGTAAAACCGGCGGGAGGCTCCGCCCACCGACATCATCAGAACCCTTCTTAGATATTGGAACCCTACTATCATAGGTTTGTGTGGCCCCATTGTGAACCGGTAGTAAAGGTAGGTAGAATCCACCCCTGATCCTATCCTATGATAGTAGGGTTCCAATATCTAAGGGGCTGCCCCAGAGAAGAAAGGGACATCCTATTCTCCAAAGCTCCTGAAGACAGAACAAGAAGCAATGGGTGAAAACTAGTCAAGGAGAGAAGAAACCTAGAACTAAGGAGGGAATTTCTGACAGGGAAAACAATTAATCGGGGGAATGGCTTGTGTTCAGAAGTTGTGGGTGCTCCATCACTGGAGGTTTTTAAGAAGAGATTGGACAGCCATTTGTCTCAAAATGGTATATGGTCTCCTGCTTGAGCAGGGGATGGGCTAGACGACCTCCAAGATCTCTTCTGTTATTCCATTCTTCTGTTAATCAGAATAATGATCTTCAGAAGTTGTGGGTGCTTCATCACTGGAGGTTTTTAAGAAGGCATTTGTCTGAAATGTATAGCATCTCCTGCTTGAGCAGGAGGTTGGACGAGAAGACCTCCAAAGTTCCTCTCCAATTCTGTTAGTTCACCATCTTCACCATTACCCCACCTTGTCTTTTAGACTTAGAAGGAAAGACTGAATTCAATTCACCCAGCAAGCTTCCATAGCTGAAAGAAGGAATAGAATGTGGATCCTTTCATTCCACACTTTAACTACTATACCAGTGGTGGGTTTCAAATTTTTTTACTACCGGTTCTGTGCGCGTGGCTTGGTGGGCGTTGCTTGGTAGCCATGGATTCCCACCCAACTCCAGGGGAAGGATACTGTAAAATCTCCATTCCCTCCCCAATCCAGGGGAAGGTTACTGCAAAATCCCCATTTTCTCCCGATCATCTGGGACTTGGGAGGCAGAGAATAGATGGGGGCGGGGACAGTCAGAGGTGGTATTTACCGGTTCTCCGAACTACTCAAAATTTCCACTACTGGTTCTCCAGAACTGGTCAGAACCTGCTGAATACCACCTCTGCACTATACCACATGAGTCTACTTCACCCAGGCCTGAACATGCATGTGGTCGGTGAGCCACCTTGTTTTCAAACTGGAACAGGGATTTCAATATTTTTTAAGAGCAAGTGCTTTGTACAATTTTGTACTGGTTTATTTTTGGTAAACTGCCCTTTGATTCTCAGACAGATGCATACACATGTGGACACACTCCCCACATAGCTCATTCCACTCATCCGTTAAAATAGGTCCTCCATCTGCTGCTCCTTCTAAATGTTAGAAGAAAAGATTTCCTATTCTGGCAAGGGGTGGACTGGGTGACCTTTGAATATGGAGATAAAGATCAGTTTACGGCTGAATTCACACAACCCGTTAAATGGAAATGCAGCTGGCTGATTTATGGCTCATGGTCAACTATAAACTCAGCCAACTAGGTTAGCTCAGGAAACCATAGTTCACCCTAAAGCTAAGCCTCTCAGTTTTGGATATACTTAATCATTCTTCTCGTGCCTCGTCTCGTGTATTTGTGTATTTATATAAAGTATGAAACAACATGTCGATTTGCATTTTCAAATGCAATTTCTATTGGGCTTTTTTTTGCGCACAGCTTCTCTACTGCTGATGTGCAGGTAATCCTTGACTTACAGACATTCATTTAATTTAATTAATTCAATTTATATGCCGCCCCTTTCCGAACACTCAGGGCGGCTAATTTAGTGACCATTTGAAACTACAACAGCACTGAAAGAAGTGATTTTCAACTGGTCCTCTCACTTATGACCATTGCAGCAACCCATGTGATCAAAATTTGGGCACTTGGCAACTAACATATACTTATGAGCCGTGGTGGCGCAGTGGTTAGAATGTAGTACTGCAGGCTACTTCTGCTGGCTGCCAGCAGTTCGGCAGTTCGAATCTCACCAGGCTCAAGGTTGACTCAGCCTTCCATCCTTCCAAGGTTGGTAAAATGAGGACCCAGATTGTTGGGGGCAACATGCTGATTTTGTAAACCGCTTAGAGAGGGCTGTAAAGCACCATGAAGTGGTATATAAGTCTAAGTGCTATTGCTATGACAGTTAGATATGATAGATGTTTTCAACCTTCGCTGCCGGTGTTTGATAAGCAAAGTGAATATGGAGTCACTTAACAGTTGCATGATTCACTTAACAATTGCAGTGATTTGCTGAACAACGGTGCAAAAAAAGGTCATCAAATCAGACACAACTCACGTAATAATCACCTTGCTTAGCAATGGAAATTCTGGTTCCCATTGTGGTCATAAATTGAGGACTATTTGTAGCAGTGGTGGGATCCTTCCAGTTTATCAACCGATTTGGTGATCGTGCGCTTTGCGTGCGCCTGTGCTAGACGTGCACTGTGCACACGTGTGCAGTTCAACGAAAAATCACCTTCTGTGTTAGTGCTAGGGAATTATAACAGCTGAGACACGGCAATCTGTTCTGCCGTGCTAATCAGCTGTGAAGATAGAGATAAGTAAAGTGCAGGGGTAGGATGGCAGGCCCAGCTGATTGTCGGAGCAAACAAGTTCGTTCCCAGCTGATCGTCGGAGCTACCAGTTCACCCGAACCGGTCCGAACCGGTAGAATCCCACCCCTGATCTGTAAATGTAGCACTGTCAGTACTTCAATAAGTATAAATGCAAGGCTAGTGGTGCCTTCATACTCTTTTCTTTTAATACGAGGCATCCCTGTCCAGCAATCCCTCTGTATGTTCTACAGAGGACAAACTCTGTACAAAAGAATTAATGGAGGCCTGTTTCGCATCAGGACTTAAAATAAGGGCAAAGTAAAATCAGTATTTTTTTCAATCTCCTAGGACACTTCATTACTGATCTGTTTTGGAAAAAAAAGAAAGTTTTAACAGCTTCATTGAGCAAGAGATTACGGAACTCATCTACATCAGAAGGTTGCAGGCAATCTCAAAAGGTCTCAACAAAGGCAGAGGGTTTTTTACACATTACAATTGTTAATGCTCAGGTACTTGTAATCTGCCTCATGTGTAACCTACATCTGCATAACTGCCTTGTTTTCAATTCCCTTCCCTTCATCTCCCAACGCCTCCTCTCAATTTAAACCCTGAAGCAGTTCAGCCACCCTGTGCCTCTGATAAAGTCAGCTGTACTCACAAAAATATATGCCTTTTGCAGGTAGTTTTTTCCCCCCCAAAAAATAGTTTTTATTAAACATTAAAAAAAAAAATCTTTAACAATCTTTCCTTTTCAACAAGTTCGTGTCGGTAAAGAATTTCCTACTTATGCATTTTTTTCTCCCTTATTCTAATGTATCTTTTATACATATACTTCTAATATTAATTTATTTACCTATATACGTATAAATAACCGTGTACACAATTTCATTTCTACAATTTTTGTTTCCTCATATTTGTTATTGTATTTCTACTCCTATTTCGACCACTATTTGATCTTTCCTTGCCTTTTATCTCTCTTCTCCAGCCATTCATACCATTTCTCCCACACTATGTAATATTCTGTTTCCTCTTTTTCTTGTATCTCTTTTGTAAGTTTGTCCATTTCCGCACATTCCAAAACTTTTCTGATCAAATTATCTTCAGTTGGTATATTATTGGTTTTCCAATTCTGTGTGTAGATTATTTTGCAGGTAGTTCTTGATTTACGGCCACAACTGGGCCCAACATTTCTGTTGCTAAGCGAGACAGTTGTTCAGTGAATTTTGCACCCATTTTATGACCTTTTTTGCCACTGGTGAGTCATTGCAGTTGTTAAGTTAGGAACACGGTTGCTAAGTGAATCTGGCTTCTCCCTTGACTTTGCTTGTCAGAAGGGTAACAAAAGGTGGTCACATGACCCCAGGATACTGCAACCATCATAAATTTATTTTTATTTATTTTATTTAGTTTGTCAAACATGTATGAGATAACAGGTATAAGCATAAACATGGACATGAGCACATGAAATGAGTACAAATAAATGGGGATAAATACTGCAACCATCATTAATTAATTAAGACCACACCTAGAATACTGCACCCAGTTTTGGTCACCACACTATAAAAAAGATGTTGAAACTCTAGAAAAAGTGCAGAATAGAGCAATCAGGATGATTAGGGGACTGGAGGCTAAAACATACAATGAACGGTTGCAGGAACTGGGCATGGCTAGTCTAGTTAAGAGAAGGACCAGGGGAGATATGATAGCAGTCTTCCAATATTTGAGGAGCTGCCACAGAGAGGAGGGGGGTCAAGCTATTTTCCAAGGCACCTGAAGGCCAGACAAGGAATAATGGATGGAAACTGAACAAGGAGAGATTCAACCTGGAAATGAGGAGGAACTTTCTGACAGTGAGAACAATCAACCCATGGAACAGAAGTTGCCTTTGGAAGTTGTGGGAGCTTCATCACTGGAGGCTTTCAAGAAGAGATTGGACTGCCATTTGTCAGAAATGATGTAGGGTCTCCTGCTTGGCCGGGGAGTTGGACTAGATGACCTACAAGGTCCCTTCCAACTCTGTTAATCTGTAAAACATCTGTAAAATCATCATCATTACAGGGATGTTGCAATTGTCATTGGTGTGAAAAGCGGTCATAAGTCACTTTTTTCAGTGCCATTGTAACTCCGGACAGTCGCTAAATGAATTGTTATAAATCGAGGACTACCTGTTTTGTAAGTTGGAAAAGGTGCTCCAAGACTCTTGATTTTGAGGGTAAAGGTAAAGGTAACGATTCCCCTCGCACATATGTGCTAGTCGTTTCCAACTCTAGGGGGTGGTGCTCATCTCCGTTTCAAAGCTGAAGAGCCAGCGCTGTCCGAAGATGTCTCCGTGGTCATGTGGCCAGTATGACTAAACACCAAAGGCGCATGGAACGCTGTTACCTTCCCACCAAAGGTGGTCCCTATTTTTCTACTTGCATTTTTTACATGCTTTCGAACTGCTAGGTTGACAGAAGCTGGGACAAGTAACGGGAGCTCACTCCGTGACGCGGCACTAAGGATTCGAACCGCTGAACTGCCGACCTTTCGATCGACAAGCTCAGCGTCTTAGCCACTGAGCCACCGTGTCCCTTAAAAATGGTATATGAATGGTATATTTCTTGAGTTTTTTCATCGAAAACATTTCGCTTCTCATCCAAGAGGCTTCTTTGGTTCAGTTCATGAACTAAAGGAAAAGGGGGAAAAAACCAAGAAAGTCCAGTTGACTTTTGGAAAAAACATTGTTGGGTCATCAAAGTGGGGTTTCTGCCTTTATTTGCTTGGCACAAGATAGCAATAACAATAGCACATAGACTTATATACCGCTTCACAGTGCTTTACACCCTTCTCTAAGCGGTTTACAGAGTCAGCCTATTGCCCCCAACAATCTGGGTTCTCATTTTACCAACCTCAGAAGGATGGAAGGCTGAGTCAACCTTGAGCCCTGCAGAATTGAACTCCTGGAGCGAGCAGTGAGTTAGCCTGCAATACTGCATTCTAACCACTGCACCACCACAGATGCTGCTCAATTTCTGAGGACCTCAAATGGTAGAAGATCACTTGAAGTGACTGGCTACAGCGCTGCCCACCCTTGTTTTAAAGAACATCTGGACTGCATCCAAACTGAAAAATGCAAGGAAAGATTAGCATAGCATAGAGTCTTTATAAATTCATATTTGGCTCAGCTTGCTATAACCTCCAACTTAGAATCAATATTTAGCTAGATCACTGTGCACAGCAAGCAGGTTGGTAGGTGGCTGTGAGATCTGAGAGTGGCTTAGAGAGAACAAGATGTCACAATTGGATGCCTGGAAGACAACTTGGGAATTGGGGGTGGTGACGGTGGAATAGATTTACAAGCTGTTTTCATGTGGCAACCAGGGTTTCATGTGGGTGATACAACTCTTAGATTGCTTTTGCTGCCTCCGTAGTTTTTGCATACTTATTTACGGATTTGATGTCTTTTTTGCCACCATGATGTGACCATCAATGGTACACGGACGGTTAGAATTGCAGCTTTCCTCAATTTGGTGTCCTCCGGTTGTTAAGAATTCGACTTCCAGCATGACTAGTTGTGGGAAATGGATATAAACTGTCACGGTGATTGCAAAAGACATTATTTTTTAGGCAGTTTTATTATAGTTGGGAACCTTTGAAACAGCTGGCCACACTGCAGGGGTGCTGTTCAGCAGGTTTTGACAGGTTCTGGAGAACCAGTAGAGGAAATTTTGAGTAGTTCGGAGAACCGGCAAATACCACCTCTGGCTGGCCCCAGAATGGGGTGGGAATGGAGATGTTGCACTATCCTTCCCCCAGGAGTGGTGAGGGAATGGGGATTTTGCAGTATCCTTCCCTTGTCATGCTCACCAAGCCACGCCCACAGAACCGGTAGTAAAAAAAATTGAATTCCACCACTGCCACACTGCCATTTGCATGCACAAACAGAGGGCAAGAGGGATGTGCTGGGAATAATACAGGCTGAAGGACATGGACAAGTTTAGTCTGAGGGGGAACAGGTTTCCTTGTTTTAAACTTCTGCAAACAGAAAACCCCAAAAGGCAGCCATAAAAAATGGAGTCCCTGCGGATTTTACTTCACTAGTTATTGCCAACTATAGGGGGCGATGCCACCTCCATTTCAAGGCCATTGAGCCAGCGCTATCCAAAGACATTTCTGAGGTCATGTGGCCAGCATGACATCACAGAACACTGTTACCTTCCCACCAAAGTGGTACCTATTTATCTACTTGCATTTGCATGCTTTCGAACTACTAGCTTGGCAGTTGCCTGAGGTAAGTAACAGGGGCTCATCCGTTTGCATGGCGCTCGGGTCTCGAACCTGGGCTGCTGGCTTTCCAACTGACAAGCCCAGCATCTGAATCACTGAACCACTGTGCTGTCCAAGGTAGCCATGGCCTCGTTTTTCTCATTCCATGATACAGAACTTGGAGTTACAGATTTGGAACCCAGCAAAAGCAGACATTTGTTGAATGCTAGGGGGGAAAAAAACCTTGTGAGGTCCTTGGTGCTCTACAATCTTGGTTATCTTCTGGCAGACATTTCATTACCCAACTAGGTAACATTATCAATGCTAGAAAGCAGTGAATCTGCTCTCTGTTTATATACTAGTGGCTTGCCCTGTCCGTGTTGGTGGGAGTGTTCTTGATTTAGGCTATTGTTTATTGTGAGATTGTTTGTCTGAGTTGGTAATTCCTTGCATGGACTATTGTTTACTGCTTGAATGACCAACTCAGGCAAACAATCTCACAGTAAATAGCAGCCTAATCAAGAAACCATCAAGAGCACTCCCACCAACACTGACAGGGCAAGCCACTTATACACTAATATACAGTATATAAACAGAGCTCAGACCCCATTCCTCCCTAGCATTGATGATGTTATCTAGTTGGATAATAAGATGTCTGCAGGAAAACATCCAAACTCAGAGGGTACCAAGGACCCCACCATTCAACCCTGAGCCATAAATATTCCAGTGGGAAAAAAACCTTATTGTCCTGAGAAGCAGTTCAGTGATGGGACTGATCATCCAGAAAAATTAAATTAAAAGATAGATAAATGTATTAATAGAGAAGTAAGAAAAGTGGGGGAAATGTCATAATAAAGGAAATGATAATATTAAGATATGATAAATATTGGAGCAGTAAAAAGAAGACACAAAAGATGTATTCAGAAGATATATTGAATGATTGATTATGTATTGTTTGTTTGTTTATAAAATAAAAAAAAACTTTTTAAATAAAAATTAAAAAAAAAGTGATGCCTTCAAATGGAGAAATTGGGGGAACTGGGAATGTCTAGTCTAACAAAAAGAAGAACTGTCAGAGGCTGTCAGAGAGAAGAAGGGGTTGCCTATTCTCCAGAGTACTTGAGGGCAGGAAAAGAAGTAATGGGTGAAAGATCATTAAAGACAAATCCAACTTGGAACTAAGGAGAAATTTCCTGACAGTCAGAAAAATGATCAGTGGAACGATTTACCTCCAGAAGTTGCTGGTGCTCCATCACTGGAGGTTTTCAAGAAGAGACAGGATAGCCAGGAATAGTATAGGGCCATGATGGCAAACCTATGGCACGCGTGCCACAGGTGGCACGCAGCGCCCTCTCTGTGGGCACTTGAGCCGTTGCCCCAGTTCAGCTCCACTGGGTATGCGTGCACGCCTCCTGCTGGCCAGCTGGTTGTTGGGTCTCTGCCGCACA